ATTTCAAGAAGCTAAAGTTGCAGCAACACCAAAAGTCATAGCAGGATTGTCCTGAAAGAGCCGAACGTTTTGATTCATGATTTGTTGAAAGAGCTTGAAGACTGCGGGGTGAGAACGATGCTGGAAAACGTGGAGAAGACGAACGGATCGCAGCAGAGCGATGCTTCACGAACCTTCAGACTGAACCGAGAGTCAAACCCACTCTCTGAGCGCGACATCGAGGATAAGGTTTGCGGAGCGGAGTACCTGCGGTGAGCATGACGGACGGGTTGCAGTTGTTGGTGCAGCTGATGACGGCGGCGATGACCACGGAGCCGTGTGCCAGCTGATACTCCTGACCACAGTGCGTGAAGGGAACACGGAGCTCCTGCTTCTCCTTGGAGATGTGGAAGCCTTTAAAACCCACCTGAGCGCAAAGACAACAGCTCCTTTTCAGACCAGCAACAAACTATTTCCATCAACGATATCATTCTAATCCTCCCCTTCGCGTGAAACAACTGAAAACACCGGATAAGTCACCGATAACAAAAGTGTTTACCTTCTCGTTAAGACAACTCTGAAAGTCCTCCTTCATGCTGCTCACAGCCACCCTGTCCTGAGGTCTTTTCGGTCCACTGACGTGGGGAACTATGGAGCTCAGGTTGATTTCTATCACCTGCACACACATCACGGCCTCAATAAGCAAAATATTTCTCTAAACTTCAGGTCAAACTGTCGTAATGAATCATCCGATTACAAAACTCCGCCTGAGGACATATAAATAATTCCCATTAATAAGGAAATAATTACTTCAATGTACGTTTTTAGTGCCGAGTTTGATCTCGAAGCTGCCTGAAGGTGAATTTACCTCAGAGTACTGGGGGTCTTCTGAGGCTTCTTCAAAGCTTCGGAAAATATTTACAACCTTCAGGTAAGACTCGAGCAGTTCGAGCTTTTCCTGCGTAAAATCTGAGAGGGAGAATTACGAGTTACAGAAGAACTGCAGGAAAATTAAACCGAAACAAATCTGAAGGAGACTTGTCCTAACGTGACGGATAAAACAGCCGAAGCTTCAGACGCACCAGCTTTACATGAAGCAGGTAGAAGCTGTGATTACGGTGGGGCGTTCGGGCGACTCACTTGTCTTTTTAAAGTGCTTGAGTGCGACGTGGTCGACGGGGAAGAAGCTGACGGTGGCGTTGTATTCTGGGCACATGTTGGCGATGGTGGTCCGGTCAGGAACCGACAGCTGGGAGACACCGGGCCCGAAAAACTCCACAAACCTCCCCGAGATTCCAGCCTGGCGCAGGTGCTGGAAAATCCACACATTTGTGAGAACTTCAGCACGTTTTACACAAAGTGTGGTGTTCGGAGTTTGTGGGCCTCATCGTTACAAATAAAAAAAAACTGGAGTCTGACCTTGGTGATTCCGAGCACGATGTCGATGGACGTGGTCAGGGGGTTAATGGAGCCCACCAGTTTACAGCCCACCACTTGGGGAAGGGTCAGAGACACCGGCTGGCCCAGCATCACCGCCTCAGACTCAATTCCTCCAACACCTGATGACGGGGGAGGAGGGGGGTGTTATGAACCAGGAGCAGCTTAAAACGCCCAAATTACTGTTTACCCGAGCGGCAAGCTTCTGTGTTCGACTTTGAAAAGAACTGTGGCCGTTTCACAGCTGAGAACTTAAAAGTGAATCTTTTGACGGCCCAACGTTGTGCGACGTGCACGTTCTGACAAAAAACAACTTCACTCAGCTGCATCTCAAGTCCAGAGGAGACTTGTTGTGGAGATAAGCAACGTCAAACGTTCATTCAACCTTCATAACCTTTCCACAGAAATACACTTCGAAGAATTCAAAGTATCCCTTTAAGAAACCCGAGTCACTGACCAGGTCTACATTTAAAACATCAACAGCTGCTGAAGGAATAAACGTCAGGAGATCTTTTACCCCAGCCGAGGACGCCCAGGCCGTTGATCATGGTGGTGTGGGAGTCGGTTCCCACTACGCTGTCAGGGTAGATCAAACCATCGCTGACCTGCACCACTCTGGACAGATACTCCAGGTTCACCTGGTGGACAGCGCCAACGTCCGGAGGAACCACGTTCACGTTCTTAAATGCTTTTGAGCACCACTGATCAAAACACACAATAAAAAAAAGTTCCAATGAATTAAGCTTCTTACCAACAAATAAAAGGCAGTTCACCGACTTTCAATGACTTATCACTGTTTTAACTTACAAAACCTCAAAATGTTTTTTTGTTAAATTGATCAATAAAAGCAGTGAAGTCATTAAAATCACCCAAGAGTATTAAAGACATGCAACAAGAATTAATCCACACATTACAGGACCATTTGCTTCTTTTGGTTGTTGGTACCTTAAAGAACTGAAGCCTCTCTTTGTTTCTGATCAGTTCCATTTCCTGATTTTTCACAGCCGTTTCAGTTCTGCAGGAAAGAAACAAATCCACAGCGAACTTTCTGAAACAAAACTGATTCCATGAACAAGTCATCAATGACGGACACCTTTCCTCTTCTGCGCATGTTAAAACACCGTTTAGTTAAACCACATTGTTGCGTTTTGCAAACTTGAAGCGTTACTGAACATGAGACAAAGAGTAAATCGTCTTCACAGACATTTATCTAAACCACAATCAAAGCATCGGCCTCAGCGAACGTACTCGGAGACGGGCTGCAGGTGGAAGGGACAGAGGAGGGGAGTGTTCTCGATCTGTTGGACAGAGGCTGGAGGTCGACCCGGGAGGTTTGGGGGGTCGTTGCAGGCAGTTTTACCGCAGGGGCCCCTCTGGCCCCCACATTGTGAGCCACCTCTGGACGGAGGCCTGGAGGAAGTCGAGCGAGACGGAGCCTGGCTCGGATTTGGACCGTCCCCTCCACCGGGGTTTGGGGTGTTCTGTATCGCACTGTGGACAAAATGTAAAACACAAACCAACTCGTGAGTGCCCGACTTCATCCTCTGTATTTGTTTAGTTTGAGTTGCTTCATTTTACCATTTGTTAAAATCTATCTGCAGCGAGTGGTCTACGATGAGGTCCGTGGGACATTTCGGGTTAACTAGAGCAGGGTCCACACCGTGTTTGACCACGGCATCTCTCATGGCTGCCAGGTCCACCATAGCAGGAATACCACTGTCAAAGGAAACACGCACACACAAAAATACTCACGGAGATAAAAACAACCACAGCTTTTATTTACATCACTTAACTTTGTCCCTCGGCCTCTGACAGCGGTTTTTGTCTCAGAGTCCTGTGAACTCACGTGAAGTCCTGCAGAAGGACTCGCGCCGGTGAGAACGGCACCTCCGTTTTATCCTGCTGCCGCTGCCAGTCCAAGATATTCTGCACGTCGTCCTCCTTTGTGTAGAAGCCATCACAGTTGCGAATCGCTGCCTCCAGTATGACGCGGATGGAGAGAGGCAGTTTGTCTATTTGACACAAACAAACAAGGTGTTTATTTACATTGTAAACAACAGTTAGGTCCAAGTGTTTAACTCTCTGCAGTACGTGTTTGAACGGACAAACGGAGACACAGATCGAGCACAACTGACTCCTGTTGCTGAATGAAACTTGAACTTACCGTATCTTGGATCGTTTAATTTCTGTGGATTGAAGAACTTGATCGCGCCATCCCTCAGAGAGTCGATCACGTGGCTGTATGGGTGTTCTGCAGAGGAGATGGAAACATTTATAGGGGATCAACAAAGTCCATGATCAATAATCCAGATATACAATACAACAACTTTCAGTCAGCTCATCTGGA